GCTGGTGGGAGCCTGGCACCAACGGTCTGATGGAGGAGGGGATGAGTGAGTGTCTGTCTGATGGAGGAAGGTATGAATGAGTGTCTGATGGAGGAGAGGGTGAGTGATGGAGGAAGGTATGAATGAGTGTCTGACGGAGGAGAGGGTGAGTGAGTGTCTGATGGAGGAGGGGGTGAGTATCTGATGGGGGAGGGGATGAGTGAGTATCTGATGGAGGAGAGGGTGAATGAGTGATGGAGGGAGACGTGTGTGTCTTTGGGGGAGTGAGGGAGTGTGTCTGATAGAGAAAGGTATGAATGAGTGATGGAGGATAGGGTGAGTGGGTGTCTGATGGAGGATGGGGTGAGTGAATGTCTGATGGAGGAGAGGATGAGTGAGTGTCTCATGGAGGAGGGGATGAATGAGTGTCTGATGGAGGAGAGGGTGAATGAGTCTCTGTTGGAGGGAGGCCTATGTGTGTCTGATGGAGGGCGGGAGGGAGTGTGTCTGATGGAAGAAGATATGAATGAATGTCTGATGGAGAGAGGCCTGTGCGTGTCTGTTGGAGGGTGGGAGGGAATGTGTCTGATGAGGGAGGGAGGGAGTGTGTCTGATGGAGGAAGGTATGAATGAGTGTCTGATGGAAGAGTGTTTCCGCCCTCAGCGGGCATGGAGGCTGCCAGCAGGTTAGAGATCGCAGCTCCCACGGTTGAGGCTGGAAGAGACCTGGGCTCAGCACACCCAATGAGCTCGGTAGACACCAGTAACGGTGGTGCCCCCTGTTTGTTCCAGCATCTTGTCTCCGAGTGTCCTCACCCCTCAGCACCCCTTAGGGTCCCTGGGGCAGGTGACAGCTGAGGACCAGAGGCTCAGGTCGTGGAGGGTGTTAACAGGAGGCAGAGCTGGGCCTCGACTTCAGCCCCTGTGTGTGTGCGGTGGCTCTCGGCAGTGGCCCTCGGCACTGGTGCGGGCGGAGCAGACACATGACCTCCTTGTGCAGAGCCGGAGCCTCGTGGACGGTGCAACTGCGTCCCTTATTCCCGTGCGGCCCACACGGGCATCTGGTCAGCCGGCTGCCCGAGGCCATGGCTCCTACTGCCACGCACCCCCCACCCTTCATCTCCTCCGTCCCGTGTTTCCCGGGTTCGCAGCACAGGACCCGGTGTGGGGCATCTGTTTGGTAGAGAGGGGGGAGGGCCCCGTGGGACCAGGAGCCCAAGCTGGTGACAGGTGCTCATGGGACACACACCCACATGTGCATACGCTGTCCCCTGGGGTACCACGTCCCTCACCTTGCCCTTGGCTGGGTGCTCCAGACCTTCACCTCCCGTTGGGGCCCCCAAAGCCTGTCGGCGCGCTCCCTGCCCTGGCCAGCGCTGGCATCCTGGCCTCTCCTGCGTGCACAGGTGGGAACCAGGCCTGGAGACAGGCACAGCCTCTCTCTACCCTGGCACGCCTTTTCCTGCTGCCACTCCCCCCGCAGCTCTGTAATTAGCTGCCACACTCCAGCTTTCTCCGTGGGAAGAGTCAGAAATAGGCCGAGTCTTCCCCAGCGGCACCTGCTGCTCGCTCGCTCGTCACTCGCTGGGCTGGGCTGGGCTGGAGCGTTTCTGAATCGGGGGAGGGAGGAGCCTCCGGGAGGAGCTGGGGAATCCTGGGGCTGGAGCACACCCACGCCCTCCCTGAGGCCTCGGCCCCCCAGCTCCTGGCCCAGCCGCCCTGGGGCTGTGTCTGCCGGTCCTCTGAGAGCCCCTGGCCACTGAGGCTCCAAAGGAAGAGCCTCCCCTGCCCCGGGGCCGCTGGAACACGCCGCATGGGGAGGGGTCTCCATGCTCTCATTTGCCGCCAGCTCTCTGCGTGGGGTCACCTGTGCTGGGCCCCGGGGTGAACCTAGGCGCTAAGACCCGATCACGTTTGGTTCTCTGAGCCTTCATGGTCTTCTCTCATCTACCTCTGACAGGGGGTGGGGTCGTCGCTTCTGGAAGCCTCCCCCACACGGAGAGCAGAGCCGTCCCCACTCGAGGGGACGGCACGCCGTGGTTCACGGGTCTAGGCTTACGGGCACTGAGCTGGAGTTTGCCTGTTCGTCCTCTTGAGCAAATTCCTCCCCCACGCTGTGAACCCGCCCTCGACCCCTTGTGGGTCTGGAGCACCTGTGCTTCCTGACAGAGTCCCGGCCCTGGGGAGGCCTGTGTCTCCTTGTGGTGGCTTCTGCCCGGTCCCTTCTGGGACAGCAGCCTGGAGGAGCCCAGACAGGGTTTCCGAAGGCAAATCCGATCTCGGTGTCCCCTCAAGCCACCCACCCTTGCCTGCTTCAAGCCATTGTATGCCTTCTCGGACTCCTGGGACGGCTACAGACCCCTCATCTGACTCCAGGCTGTGGCCCTGTCCAGCTGTCCTGCCCCACAGACGCTCACACCCCTCAGCCCGTCTAAGGAGCGGTTGCAGAATCCCTCCTCATCCTTGGGTCTCAGCCCAAGGGGTACCTTCCCGGGAGCCCGCCCTGTGCAGGTCAGCCCACGTACCTAGGCTTCGTCCTAGTGCTGTGTGGGGACAGGGTGAGCGTCTGTCCCCAAGGGCACCTGTAGGCCCCGGCACAGGACTGGTTCTCGTGTCTCACCACCGTGTCCCCAGGGCCCCGCGGGTCCTGAGTGCAACCAGAACGTGCGGCGAAGGAAGGTCGCTGAAGCCGGGGCAGAAGTTCAGAATCTCGTGAAGTGGGATCCTGGGTACCGGGTGGCCCTCCTGGGTAGGAGTGAGTCTAGACTGGACCTCTGGACACGCAGCCCTGCCCTCGGGGCCTCCTCCTCCCCTGTCCCCCGTGAGTGGGATCCTCTCTCCTGGGGAGAACCACACAGGGAGGGTTCGGGTCCTCTGCTCCAGCCCCAGCCGCCTCTATGGGGAGGGTCGGGTGAGGGGCGGTGCCTGTGCGTCACTCATGGCGGGGTCCCTAATGGGGCTGCGTCCACCCAGAGGCCTGGGTTGGAGCTGGCCTGGGGGCCAGCTGTTCCCTTGGACGGGTGACATCCAGGAGGACGCTGCGGTGCAGGGCAGGACCCGGCCGGCTTTCAGCACATGGGCCAGGGGCGTAGATCCTGGTGATGGGCCGTCGGCACTTTTGAGAGATGCAGGAACTGGGTGACAGGCCTTTCTGGGCACCCCGTCCATGGCCAGTTGGCAGCTCCCGGGCTGGGTTTTCTTGAGACATTTTTGAGAGACGACTGTGTGCCAAGCTAGCACTCCCAGACGCTCAGTGCATTACCTCATCCCGTTCTCACACTTCTGGGAGAGTCTGTAATGGGGTCCCATTTTGGAAGAGAAGACAGGCCTCCAGCAAGAGGAGGCCTGGGGTGGGGAGGCCTTGCTAGTGGGCATTTGGGGGCTTTTCAGGTTTGAGGAAATCTGTGGCCTCAGTCCCTAGGTGTCGCTTCAGGGGACCTGGCTAAGCAGCTGACAGTCACTAGTCCCCAGGCTCTGTCTCCCTACAGATGCTCCACAATTCTGCCCAGAGTCGCTTCTTCTGTGAAGCCTGCCATGATCCCTCCTCCCCTCTCCACCCTCCACCACCCTGCACGCTCTCCCCTGTCTTGAGCCCTTAGGGGACGGTCGCTGCGGCTAGAGAGGTGTGGTCTTCCCGTGGCTACCTCTTCGTGTGGTCTCGGAGGAAAGGGGTCCACGCGAAACCCTCCGCCCCCACGGTGCCTGGTCGCTTGTTGGTCACACGCCCTGTCCTGTGTCCTCCATGGCATAACATCCTGGAATGTCTTGTCCCTTTTCGTACTGTTCATCGGCCTTCCTCCTCAGACCGTGGGCTTTCCCCGGCGGAGGAGGCTGGTCGAGCGCCGTGTCTGGGGGCGTGGGACCGCCTGGCACAGAGCCAGCCCTCCCTGGTCCTTTGCTGCGGGAGCGAGCACGTGGCATTGGGAAATCGGGGACCTCTCGGTGCCAGTGGTGGTGAGGGAGCCAGATCTTGTGCGTCCCACTCCCAGGGCCGGTCGGGAGCCTTCGCCCTGGGGTCCCAGCCAGGCCTCGCGGGGGGCCGGCTCACATCCCCGCAGACCTGCAGACGTACTGTCGAAGCGGCCGCCCACGGACCCGCCGCACACCAAGCCACCAGGCGCGGCGGAGGAGCAGCAGAGCCCGGGGACGCCCTCGGCTTTGTGCTGGGACAGGGGTTCCGAAGAGACGAGCACGTCTGGAGGCTGCGTCCTCTTCGGGGCAAATGCGGTGGCCCCAGAGTCGGGGCGTTCCCAGGCTCTGCCCTGTTGTCTCCGGCGGCTAACGGTCCGGAAGTGGGACGGCTCCTGGCTCTGACCCAAGGACAACAGTGTCGGAGTTACAGAAATAATTGGCGCTTGGCACTAATTGTGGCTAATTATGCCTCTTTCTCCTGACAAGCCTTTTCTTTATTTTATGTATTTGTTTTTGGCCGGATCCTCTGACTCTTTCAACTTGAAACTGCTGGAAAGGCTCGTTCTCTGCCCGGGAGGGCGCGGGTGGGGTGGGGGCGGGCTGGGCTGGAGGGGACGGGGGAGAGGGGAGGCGGGTGGGGGTGCCCCTCCCTCCGCGCTGCAGCTCGCTCTGCTGGCCCGGGAGGCGTGGAGAGAGGCGAGAGGCGGTGCTTGCTGTCACTCCCCGTGCGAGGGCTGCCGGCCAGGCTGCTGAGGACAGGAGCGGGACAGGTGCCGCTGCAAGAGGCACTGGTGGCAGTGGCCGCCCATGCCTGGCCTGGGCAGGAGGGGTTTCCTCCCGCCTGGGGGGCATCCCGCCGTGCGGCCGCGATCGGCAGGGCTGAAAATGAGCCGCACACCCCGAGGGGGCAGGAGGTCCACCCCAGGAGCTCCCTGACAGAAGGCGACCTCCCTCCTGGGCAGGATCCTACTGGATTGGCCAGCAAGAGGCCGCCACCAGAGGTCCCCTCCCCTCCTCCAGCTTTTGGGGACTCTGCCCCCCGCTGAGCCCAGGTGGACTCTGCAGGCGGCCACGATGGTGCACAATGTAATTCTGGTGTTTTTCCGCAGACGGCTAAGCCAGAGACCGGCCGTGGAGGAGCTGGAGAGAAGAAACATCTTGAAACGTGAGTAGCTGGGGACCCCTGGCTCCTCCCCCAGGTGCGGGGGTGGGGCCGGACTCTCCCCCTGCGGCCCCCTCTGCAGGCTGGACGCTCCCCTGCCCGGGAAGTCCAGCTGCAGAAGCAAGCCCTAAAGGAAAGTTGATGGGTTCAGACATCTGCCCTTTTAAAATTAAGAGAGAGAGAGAAAAGCTCTCCTCCCGGCGTAATTGAAGATATCCCTGTTTTCAGGGTTATTTAATTAGCCCTGTGGATCGAGGGGAAATGGCTCAGCATCCTCTTTGCTTTCTGGGGTTTGTAGCAGGTTATTCTAGGGGTTTGGGAGGGAGTCCTGATGGGCGCGGGGACAGACAGCATCAGAAACCGAGGGCAGGAGCACATGGTCCTGAGCTGCAGTCAGAGCGGCTGAAGGACCCGGAAACCCCGGGAAACTGCCCCGGGCTCCCTGTCGGTCCTGGTTCCACATGGCCCCAGGGTCCCCCGGCAGGTGTGTGGTCACAGTGCCCACGGATAGCCTTCCCGGTACAGAGGACGCCGTTCTGCCTCATGAACATCCTGGACGGTTTGGGGATAAAACCCCTCAGCAGTGGTTCTTGGAGAGCTCTGTCTCTGGCCGGCAGAGTTTAGTTTTCAAAACGTTTTCTGCAAACAGTGCTCTCGAAGGGCCTGGGTTTTTCAACTATTGCTGCTCTTTTCCTCTTTCTGTGATGAATGCTGCAGATACGCTCTGAGTTTGGCGTTTTATTCTGAGAGCTCTGAGCGGCAGAGCCTGCTGGTCTGGGCGCAGAGTCCCAGCTGGTCCCGGTCCCCTGTTCCCCCCGCACCCTCTCCGGCCTGAGCGGGCCCATCCGTCAGGGGCGGCGGGACACAGTTCATCCTAAGTGACGGGATTCCAGGTTTTTATTGTCAGACTGAAGATGCTGCCCCTCCTCTTCTGGCCATGTCTGCGGGTTTAAAGAGAAGCTTGTCCTGGGTTCTTCCTGCTTCCTCTGGTGGACGGGTGAGGACGGGGGCAGTCGGGCTCTCTCAGTGACCATGTACCGGAAGGTTGGAAAATGCCGCCACTCATTCATAAAGCGACCATGTCCCAGAGGCCCTGGGAAGAGCAGCCCAGGGGTCGGTGGACAGGCTAGAGCGGCAGGGGCTCCCAGTCCGTCTCGGCCCCGCTCCTGGGGGTGCCAGGTCCTTGCACCAAGAAGCACCCTCAGGTCTACTAGTCTTGGCAGATAAGCGTCAGGGCCTCCAGAGAGGCGCCGCTGAGGGCGAGCGCGGCTGCTGAGTGGGGACCGGGCCGGCCGCGCTCCCCTTCGGTGCATGGAAGGAACAGTGGGCTTCCTCCCTGGTGGCCCCCACCGTCCCTTCTCCACCCACAAGCCGTCCGGTGTGTCTGTAGCTCAGGAGCGCCCCGGGTGTCCGGAGTGGGGGTGTCTGTGAACTTCCTGCTGGCTCCTGGTGGGGGTTATTCTGTTTGGTTCCGTGGAGCTGAGACTAGAGTGAACACGTGTGGTCTGGTATGGAGCAGTATCACCACTAGCCCCTGACCCGGGCTGCAGGCCCTCCTGTTCTAGGGCCCTTCCCGCCTGTATTCCCCCCGGGAATGCTGCCTCATCGTGTCTGCCCCTGTACGTGGGGGCTCACGAGTAACCAATCAGGCCTGAAGGACCCTCAGGACTCAGTTTGGGTGTCGTCCACAGATAAGACAGGGCCCCCTTACAGGTGATGACCCCAGACCACGTTCGGCCCGAGCTGTGCCAACTCAGGGCTTGCTTACGTGCCTGTGTGGAATCATCACAGAGTCTTGCGGTTTCGCACCGAGGTCCCCATTTCCCTGGTCAGGAAGACAACTGAAGAAGTTGTACGGTTTGTTAACAGGAGTCTTGGCAAGGAGATGGAGCCCAAGTGGCTGGTTCCACGGGCCATTCGGACCCCTGCATCGGAAGCAACAATGCATCTCTGACGATTTACAGAGGACGAGTGTGGTTTCCCAGCCACTGGCTCTATTTCTCGAACAGCTTGGTGTGGAGGCTGTGGTCATGGATGCCTTGATTTGTAGAAGGCAGAGGGCTTTCTGGGTCGGAGACACGAAGGTCCCCAAAGCCGTCACTAGGTGTTGCTCAGAGGGAACCTGTGGGCTCAGGCTTTGAGGAAAGGTTTCTTGGGGTTGGTGCCCAACAGGGCACCTGCCCCAGAGGGGGTCCCTGTAGGCCACCTTCAAACGTCCACTCTCCAAAGCACCTGTGTCACTCACATGACCTTGGTAATGACGTTTTGGTGATTAAAAACAAAGATCTAGTTTTGTTTTACCCTTTTCGCAGAGAGGCTACACTTGGCCTTTGTCCATGGCCGATTTTTTAGGAAATCTGAAGAATTAGCTTTGTGTCATCACAGAAATCCCTCAGAGCTGGCCTTAGATTGGTACTTCCACAATTTTTTCTTGATCGTCTCATCAACCTTCTGACGAGAGAGCTTCCCCATGTGCTTTCTCCTGGTGTGTCCCTTGGATTAGGAACCAAGAACATAAAAGGGCTTCATTTCCTTTTCTAAAACACTCAGACGTGAGATGAGCACGGTCTGTCGAACCCCCGTGAACCCCAGCCCCGAAGCGCATACGTGTGTGGGATGTCGTCAACCAAGGTAGATGAGGGGAGGCGAGGTCAAGCGCGAGCAGCAGGGCTCCCGTTGCTCGAGCCAGCCCTGTTTCGAGGAGTGAGCGCTGGCCCGTGAGCCTCCCTTCCCAGGAATGGAGCTTCCTACCACCTGGGACCCGAGGCTTTATTTAGCAACAGAGAGTGCCAGAAATAGGACATCCATTATCCTGAGTCCCAGGGCAAAACCTGCGTTTTACACCCGGCTCTGACTTCGGCTCTATTTTTAGCCGCCGCGTGTAGGTAAGGGCGCAGCTCGCATGTTAATAGTCACAATCCTCCAAGCAGCCCGTGCCGCGAGCCGCGGAGGCGCCCTCAAAGGCTGGGCCACGTCGGTGCGCTCGCTCCGGCGGTGGGAGCCCGCCGGCTGCCTGGTATCTTCAGGTGTGAGATAATCCCTGAAAATGTAAATTCCAGGCAAGCTTATGTTGGCCGAGGCCAGGGAGGGGTGTTCCTTGTGGGTGCTGGTTGGCTGGAATTGTGTGTATTCCTGTAAAGCCGAAGGGAAAACGGCAGTGACAGCTCTGTTACCGTCCCTATCGGACAGCCGCATGCGACGCGTGTTAATAGTCACGCGTGTGCCCGTTACCCTGCTGCAATGCTTGTGGGCGCCCTCTGTACTCCGGGGCGTAAATACACGGAGGGTAGATATTTGGTTGCAGGGCAGGGCAGAGGGAGGGCTGCTTCCTGTTTCTCCTGCAAGTAAATTTGCGCAGCCCAGTGTATGTGCTGAGTCCGGACATGGAGAAAGTCGAGGAGAAGGCCTGGAAGGTGGGCAGAGCTTCCCCCGGTGCCAGTGTCCCTGTGGGGCAGTGAGACCACGGTCTGAACGTGGCTGGCCAAGTGCAGGGACACCAGCCGTGACACAGGGAGTCCCCGATGACCCTCTTCAGCCACCAGAATCGCAGAGGCTGAGAGCTTACTTCTTTACCAAAGGAGAGTCTCAGCCCATTTTTCTTTCTTTCTTTTTTTTTTTTTTTGTTCTTCTGTTTTAACCTTTCTCAGAGAGGAATGATCAGACAGAGCAGGAAGAAAGAAGAGAAATCAAGCAAAGATTGACAAGAAAGGTACAGTGATTTGAGTGTCTTATCCCTGGATCTTGAGGGACAGGTGACAGGTGCACTGGGAGTGGGGTGGGGGTGAGGTGACGCAGGGCCTCTCCATGTCGCTCAGTGACGTCTTCCTGGATGGCAGCGAATTCACTCCCCGGATGCTGGGAGGGCAGTGCCCCTGCCATCCCAGCGTGGCCCTCTGTGCCTGGGTGACAGGTCGGGTCTGATGACATTTCCGTGGATCTCTCGGGGAGCCAGATGGTGACAGGGCATCACCTTCATTTACGGGAGATCTCCACACACAGCTTGGGTGTCCGCGTGCAGTGACCTTCCGGGCTCCTTGGTTCCTCCAGCTTGTCTGGAAGCTCCTGGTTGCAGAAGCGTTTTACTAGCCTCGAGGGTTGGGTGTGGGACTCGCTGGGTGGAGGTGGGTCTGGCCAGCCTAGGTGGCAGCCCCACAGCCTGGTCCCTTCCAGAGCCCCAGCCGTGTCTAAACTCAGCATCCGGGCCTCGCCCGTCTTCTGTGCGCCCTGGAGGACTGACAGACGCTCTCCCCTCGCGGGAGGTGGGTCCTCCCTGAGCTTGCCTCGGGGGTACTGCTCATGGCCGTCTCTGCTCGCTCCAGACCTTTTCTAGAAGCTTGCCTGGAGGGTCCAGCGCGCCGGGGCTGCGCTGGCAGAGCCGTGGGGTCACTGTCGGGGCCGCAGTCCAGGCCTTCCCGCTGGCCCTCGCAGGCGTGAGGGTTGACTGTCCCAGTTTCTGACTTTCCCGTATCCCTGCAGACACGTGCTGTCTGTCTGAGGGCTCGAGAGCGCAGGTGTGGCCGCGGGCGGCTCACGGGCCTTCTCTGATTTCAGCTGAATCAGAGACCCACAGTGGACGAGCTGCGGGACAGGAAGATTCTGATCCGGTTCAGCGACTACGTGGAAGTGGCGAAAGCTCAGGACTACGACCGGCGCGCAGACAAACCCTGGACGCGCCTGTCCGCGGCCGACAAGGTCCGGGGGCACCGTCCCTGCTGCCTGCTGGGTGGGGTGGGGGACGGCAGCACCTGAGGAGGGCAGACCGCGACAGGCCAGCAGGTCTGTTCCTGGGGCAGGGTTGGGGGAGGGGAGGGGTGCCACCCGCTGTGGAAATGGCCGCCGTGCTGCGCCCTGAGGTCGGCTTCACAGAGGTGGTCTGGGCGGGGCTGCGGCTGCGGCTAGGTGACAGTTTGGTCCTTGGCAATCAATGTCTGGACACATTTTTGGTGTCAGAAATGGGGGGCAGTGAGTGGAGCCCAGGGATGCCCCTGAGCTCCCTGTGATGCACAGGACGGCCCCACCCAGGGTGACCCGGTCCCCAGGGTCAAGCGTGTGGGAGCTGAGAAACTGGAGGCTGGCGGGAAAGAGGTGGGGGACGGAGGTTTAGGCAGAGTCCACTACAGCGACACGGTGCAGAGAGGCCGAGGCCCGCAGGAAGGCGTGGGCAGTGTAGACGGAGGCGGCTCTGGCTCCGTCCCCACCGCTCCGGGGTGAGGTGTTTCCGGGGGCCTCCGGCGTGAAGCACGGGAAGGGAGTGGGGAAACAGCGGGTCCCAGAAGCTGTGCGGGAAGCGGAGGGACCGAGTGAGTCCTCCCCTAGCCTCGCTGTGCCGGGACTGGACCCTGAATCCGGCCTGTCCACCAGCACACGTCCCGTGAGCCCCAGAAAATCCCGTGGGAGGCGGGTGGTCATTTCCCCCGCGGAGGCTCTGCAGGTGGCTGGCGTACAAGGGCTCGGAGGGCAGCGTCCTGTCCCAGGGCACACGACTCCAGCTTCTCCCCAGCTCTCAGCTGGCCCCTGGGGGGCTCACCCGTGGGGACCCAGGGTCCCAGGGGACTGGGGAGGCTGGACGAGGCCGGGGACAGGCCCGACACGCTGTGGTGCGCACCTCACCCACACGTGACAACGACGTGTTTGTCCCGTGACATAGGGGCACCGCGTGCCCAAGGCTGGAACAGCTTCCTAATGATCTCGTTGCACAATTCCGGGTGAGTTCACCCCAAGCCCGACTCCCTGCGTGATCTGGCTCTTAAGATGCCGGCAGGTGGCTCCGCCCGGCTCTGTGTGGCGGCCGAGTGCCAAGGGGGCTGGGGGGCGTCCCTGCCCCGGCCTCTCTGGGACGTGGCCATGCGCTGGCCGGGTCCTGGCTGGGGACGACGGCGACCAGGTGTCAGAGGCTGAGTGCTCGGCCCAACGATGATTCTGCTCCTCTGGAAATACCTTCCAGAACGCCAGAACTCGGGGGACATTAGGAACTACTGTCCATCCCCCGGGCTGCTGGCCTTCTCTGTGCCTTTCGTAACGCCCGTCTCTGACCCGCAGGCGGCCATCCGTAAGGAGCTAAACGAGTACAAGAGCAACGAAATGGAGGTGCACGCGTCCAGCAAGCACTTGACAAGGTGGGCTTCTGCGGCGCCTCTGCTGGTGCCTGTCCTGGCTGCCTTGAAGCCACAGAGAGAGGCAGAGCCCTGCGTGTCTGGGCGCCTGGGGCCAGGAGCTCTGCGGAGAGCGGGAGGGACACGTGGCTTCGGGGCGTGCAGGGCGGTGTTCCTGGGTCCGCCGTGTAAGGAGCTCGTGTGCGCACCAGAGAATTGGCCTCAAAGCAGCAAACAGGACGTACCTGTCCGCCGACCGTCCTTCCCATCGTGTCCGGACCTCTCGTGACCGAACCCGGCCGGTCTGTGCCGACCAGAGGTCACCAGATCCCTTCCACTTACTGGTGCCTGTTTCCCTGCCTTTACAGTCGCGTAGTTAATACAAGCAGATCCTTCCCCAAACCCTTCAATATTTGGGTCCCTACGGCGTGCCGGGTGTCACGCCAGGCATGGAGGCAGCAGTGATGCGTTAGGTAAAGGGGCCCCCGCGCCGGGGAGCCGCTGTCCCGGTGGGGCGCGTCGGCTATCCTCCAGCACTGGGCTGTCCGCGTCACGGTCAATGCGGGCTCTGGACGTGCTGCCCCACAGGGGCCGCGGGTCTGCAGAGGGGGACCGAGGGGGAAGACTGGCCTCCCCGTGCTCACTGGCTGTGTGTGTGTTCTTCCCTCTGCCGCGACAAGCAATATGGTCTCATGTTCCCTCCGTCTTGAGACTGTGCTTGTGATGCTGCAAGCTTCCGCCCGAAGCAGTCCCTTTGCCACGTCCCCCGCGGCCTCGAGAGGCTCACGCCCCAGAGACGGAGAGAAGGGAGCCCTGAGAGCAGATTCTGCCTTCAGCTAAAATAGCGACTCCTTTCCTTTTCTGGTGTGTCCCCAAGTGGCCACCGTGGCTGTTGTTGAGGACACTCACTGTGTAGGTCAGTGTGGCTGCGGGGCAGAGCTGGCTGTGAGGGGTTCCATCCCCCAGGACGGTTTCGGGGTAAATGTATTAAGGTGGGAGAGGAGGTTGCAAGAGCAGGAGAAAATGATTCCCAATGAACAGTTTAAAATTTGTTAAGGTTCCCCCCCATGGCTGGCGTACATTTGAGCAAGAATATGTCATCTTAGTTTGGATTATCCGGAACACGCAAAAACGTTGAAGAAATCAACATTGTCCAGTAAAATATTCAAAGCTATTTTTAATGTTTACCATGTTAAAGAAAAAGGGTAGAATTGTTATGTAGCATCGCGTGTGTTAATGTCAAAATACCGAGTACAATTTCCCATTACACGTTATTAAGGGTCGTTGACTGAGGATACACGACTTCTCTCCTAAGTCCTTAATACCTTTCCTAGATCAAGGAATTTTAAGAGTTGGCTGAAAACTTGGACATCAGGAAATAGGATTTTTATACCACATTTTAGCACTTAGTCTCCGTTTTGAAAAGCACAGTAGTTTAGTCACCTGAGACTTTGTGAAACAGATCACGTTACCACAAACACGTTACCGACGTACAAAACCAAAACCAAAACCAAACGGTAACCCTGATTTCCAAAATTTTGCTCGGTCGATTATTACTTCTGATTTTAGCAAACCTTGGCCTCACACACTTCAGGAGCTTAGCCAACAGCCTTCACACTGAGTTTTAGGCAGGATTCAGCAAATCATTCCTTCTGGGGTCCAGCGCAGGCCCGGGGCCCCGGGGCGCTCGGAGGCCCTCCAGCACCGGAAGCGAAGCGGGCCCGTCCTCGTGTCCCTTGTGGGCTCTGAGCCGCTTTTAACGGCCACACGCTTGTTAGTGGGAGGTTTTGGCCATTTCAGCTTCCAATGTGTGACCCTACGCTGTCTGCCTTTTTGTACTTCCTAGATTCCACAGGCCATAGAGATTTTCTTCTGAGAAGAATTTGTGTTTAATTTTTGATACCGACACTGAACATTCATCAGGGAACTTTCCTGAAGCTCGGCTCTCGACTCCCTGCCGCGTCAGCGAGAGGGGCAGGACCACTGAGGCAGGTGAAGTCGGGGCTGTGCTCACCTGCAGGAGGGGAACCCAGAGGACGCCCTTCGTGCTCTGGTGTCCACGGAGTGGGGGCTGTCGGGCCCGGGGGAGACCCAGAGCTGCTCTCCCAGAAGAAAACTGTCATTTGCCTTTGAACCCGGTTTTTCAGTTCTGCAGCGAAACGGAGGCTGGGGACGCGCATGTGCCGGTGCCCCCCCGGGCCTCGGACGGGGTCGGGCTGCACGGCCGCGTGCAGGATTGTGTGGAAAGGACATTTTTATTCCAATCACAGTTAATTTGAAAACTCTTTAAGTTCATGTTCCACAAAATTATTGACTGTATTATACTTTTCTTTTTTTTTATATAATGTCTAACAAAAAAATGCAGCTGCAACATTTTGATTCCTGTTAATTTTGTTCTTTAATTAAATGACTACTTATTGCAGGAAACAAACCCGGGTTTTATGTTTTCATAGAGTTGGGAGGAGAGTGGGGATCTGTGAAATAAGTTGGGTCTTATTACTTTTGAGCCGTCAGATCCAAACACATAAAAGAGAATTCCAACTTTTTGTGTGCTTTGTTTTGTAAATTCTGTTAGTACATGTGATTTGTGCTTGAAAATCAGATTATCTTTTTCAAGTGAATTTTAGTTCATGTATCATTGAATAATGATCCCAGAGGTAAGCAACAACTTGGTGGAAAATTCTACCATGGTGGAAATTGGGCCGTCTTTGAGTGTTTTTAGATTCACGTATGCAGACATTATGGAAAACTCTGTTATAGGAGACAAAGGTTTAGAGGGAGTGGATGTTATAAAAAGAACATTCACCCTAGCACAAAGGTAAAACGTAATGTTGGCACAAAGAGGGAAAATAAAAAAAAAAAATAATGTTCCCAAAAGGTATTTTTACTTGGCCTTTGAATATGTGTCCTCACAGGGGAGCCCGCCCGCCGGGTACATGGTGAGGCAGGAAGCCCGGGCGCTCGGAGCCTAACGTCAGGAGCTTGCAAACCCTGTTGCTTAAACCCCAGCCCTGCGCTGTTCACCAAGATACTTTCTCTCCAGGAAGACCGTCTCTCTCTCAAAATACTGCTGTACCTTCTAAAGGAGACGACTGCGACCAACACATTCTCCGCCTCCTGTAGACGTCAGCCGCTGGCGGGGCGGGGGCAGCCCTGGGGGCAGGTGCATGTCCTCTGACGTCACTGCACACCCTACCTCACGGCTTGCCGTGACCTTTCTTGCTCAACTTCTTTAACGCCGAGGTGGGTCAGGTGCCCTGGAAACTGCCCACCCCGTGCAGCAGCGCTTTGTCCGGCCCGTCCTGGATGCTGGCGAACGTCGTGTCAGTTAGCTGAACTCTTTGAAAGAAATCCCCGTTAGGGTGGGGAAATCCCAGCTCTGCCTCTCCGTGCTGTGCCGCCTTCTGCGAACTGCTTCACTTCTCTGAGCCTCAATTTCTTTGTCTATGAAATGAGATGCTCTAAACCTTTTCTAACTAGAAGTCAGTTCTTTAATTTTACAAGCACGTGTGTGTATGTTTCTATATAATATATATATAATATTTTATATTGTATGTGTAATATATACCTATACGCTATTCATAACCCATTATTTGTGGCCAACCTCCAGAAAACTTTAAATTTTTTTTCCTATTCTACACTATTTTAGCAGCTCCCTATTTTCTTTTATTCAGTTTAAAATATTAAGTGGGAGTCCAAATTATGTAAAAGTGAGATTTCAATCTCCTTAACATGGAAATATGCATGGACTTACTATGAAACAAAAAAAGGAAAAGGTGCTTCTGTTGGAAACTGTGCCGGCAACCAAGGCGGAAAGGATCACTATTGCTTGGAAGATGGGCCTCTGGGTAGAGGTGACTTGGCAGATGGGATGTGTGTTCAGGTTTTTTGCCCAAGCAAAGTTCCATAATTAGTGGATAAGTAAAATTCAAGATGGAAATAAGGCACCAGAGACCCAGCGGAGGGTTTGGTTTGGTTTGGTTCAGGCTTAGGGTTCTAAGACATCCGAAAACCAGAAGACAGTTTCATTGTAACCAAAATTTTTTAGCAACAGTATCTAACTTCTCTACGGTATTTTTATTAATTATAAACTATTCCTCTAAGTTGTATTTCCATAGTTCACGTTCTTAGCTGGTATCACAGAGGTCGAGAGAGCCAACTGAAGCTGGAGTCGGGCGTGTTCACTCCAAAGAAGCCTGCACGGAGGAAGGCTCTGACAGGTGTCCCCAGTGCCCCTCATCCCAGCTGGAGGAGCAAAATTAGGAAGCAGCTTGTAAATCTCACGGGTGATATGCAAGCTGGTGTATATAAATGCACATACGTTCTATAAATTTGAAGAGAAAGAGCATATATATAAGAGCCTGAGGTCTTAGAAAAAAACGTTTCTGCTGCCTCCCTGCTCAGTAACAACCACAAACCGAATCACCACAGTCTTCACTACGGGAGTCCTCAGTGCATTGACTTCACAAATCAATTGTTCTAATTTCCACAAAATAAACTGTGATTAACTATTAAAGTAACAATACTATTAAGTCATTGAAGGAATTCTGCTTTTAAGGAGATTAAAAGATTAAAACCATAATTGATTATTTTATGGGAGGAAATTAAATCCCTTCTAGAAGTATCAAGTTTTAACCTGGCATGATAGGAAGAATAGTACATTGTAAGTCTTTGTAAAAAAAAAAAAAACATTTTTAAGCATGTTGAAAGGACTTTGAAATTATATTACATAAGTAATGTTTAGGCAATTGAGATGGCCAAAAAAACCCGAAAACAAAACAAAAAAACCCCAAACCCAAAAAACCCCAAACCCTAATGTCAAGAAGTCCATCTTGTGGAAATACATGGTAATTACAAGTCTAAATTCTGGAGGTGAAAAGCCAAGTTTTTAGCTACGTACCCATAGTTCTTTAATAGCAACTCCAAGTCCGGAACTGTAAAATTCTAATCACATTGTTAAAATTATTAGTCTTACATGCTTCTAATCTCAAACCCATTCTTTTTCAGAGTTTTTTACAGAGTTTTTCATGTGAAAGGAACGTCCAAGAAGATGCTCGTAAGAAACTGAACATGTTGAGACTCAAACTGAACGTATGAAAATATCCTGAAACAGTGAATTACCATAAGTTAATTTCTCTTAGATAATGTTAGAATGAGCAGTGGAAAAGCTACTAGTTACAAGTTCCCACAGTTTCATGAGAACAGAATGGCATTTTATGTTAAGTAATAGAAGTAACTTTTTTTTTTTTTAATTTTATTTTTTTAAACATATAATATCTTTTTATCCCCAGGGGTACAGGTCTGTGAATCGCCAGGTTTACACACTTCACAGCACTCACCATAGCACATACCCTCCCCAATGTCCATAATCCCCCCCCCCCCAACCCCCCTCCCCCCATTAACCCTCAGTTTGTTTTGTGAGATTAAGAGTCAATTACGGTTGTTAGATCTCCTTTAAAGAAGGTGAGCAGGGAAATTCTTAAAAAAGCACATTTTTTTTACAATAAGCCATGGTAAGAAACTCTGGATCTGGTGTACATGCTAATAATTCTTAAAGTTAAAACCATGCTTTTGTATGCACATTATTGCTTTCTGAATGCAATGTCGTCCCCTTTTTCAAAGATACAAGTACTGCAAGTGCACAGGTGTGCCCCCCAAACGAACGGTGCCTTCCCTGGGTTCCACCCGGGAACTTGGTTACAGTGGGGACTCCTGGTGTGGCACAGAGCGGTCTCGGGAATGTCTAACACCTTGCTCCACTTTTTACGTCCCAACTCAGATTCGTGTGCTCCTATTCCCTGCCGTGTCCTCGTGACCAGTCTTCTGCTTCTGTTGTCTCTTTGCAGCACTCGTGATTCCGTCTGCACTGGCTGTAACTCTCCACCGGCTGTGCTCGGGAACTACGTAGGAATTCGGGGACAGCCACCGTGAGTGGGTCAGCTGTTAACAGGTGGTAGTGACAGGTGGCTGAAGAGCTGGCTGGAGCAACTGCGAGCTTCACACCATGTGCTGAGGTCAGAGTCAGAATTTGTCAGCGTTGACTGCCAGGTCACTGGGGCGTTAAGTGCGGAATGAAAACCACACAGCCCACTAGGGCTCGGAGGGTCTGCTAGGCATCCGTGGCATCAGGATTTGGTGGCATTTACGTCGCTGTAGTAACATCTCTTAGACTGGACTAAGTTTCTGCTTGGCTATACTAAGGATGCAAAATTTGTTCTCTCCCCCGTATGTTCTTCTGGAATAGTTAGGACTTTGCGGCTCAGTTTGGTTGAGGAAGTGTGGTAAGCCTGCACCAGCATGTGTTGAATTCCAACCCAGGTCAGAAATACAAATTATTGGCTAGAATGGTCATTTATTTTTAATATGCTTGAAATAGGAAAATCAAGAAGTTGTAGTTATCTCACATAATCATTAGGCTCTGCTAATACAAAATTGATTTAAATCACCATTTTTGTTAAATAATGAGATAAGTTGAGAAACACACTGTATAGTAAAGAAGAGAGAGATCCAATCATTAAAGGTTTGCTTCTACACGAGGGATCTTGCAAACGACAGCCCACCAACCCAATCTGGCCTGCCTTTTTTTTTTTTTAATGGCTTGCAAGCTAAGACTGGTTCTTATATGTTTACACAAGTACCTACATATATTCTCAAATTTACCTGTTGGCCCACACAGTGTAAAACATTTTCTATATGGTCTTTTAGATAATTTGCCAACTCCTGCTCTAATTTTTCTTAAGTGTAAATAAATATATAAAATGTTAAAAATGAATCACACAGAACAAAGTCAAGCAACTACATGTTTTTTAAACACTTAAAATTTTTTTACATCAAATCTGTCCCAGACATCGTCTGTCCCAAA